ACAAGTTTATGTTTCAGAAATAAGCTACAACACAAGTTCTGAATAAGTCTAGGCATCAGTAGAACCTCATGTTGATGTAGACAAGCTTCAAATCTTCTCTTATTTCTTTCTGTAGTTCCAGAAAGCCAGATGAACCAAGCCCAATATCTTCAATTTCCAGTGCTTGAATACCTATGCCCAAAAATTTTCCCAAAGGTGCTCCAACTTTGCTGGAGGACAGCAATATCAGAACCAATAAATCTGGAAATGAAATGACAAGAGCGGAAGTCTAAACTCTGTTAGACTGAAACTACATAAGCCAGACTAACCTGCCAAGGCCATTTTCTCCAATAGATAAAGAATCCAGTGGCCTCTTTAAAGTTGAAAGAACACCTACAAGTTGACTCACTCCATTACATGAAGGCTCGCAATTTTCCACTTTCAAATCAGCAAAGTGAGAGTCCCTTTCAGACATCTCAACAAAGTAGGGGATTAAACTCCTGAAAAGTCCGGAACAAGTTGTAAGACTGACTGAAACCTTGTCCCAACTCAACAACAAAAAATAACATATCACTATTTTTATAAAAAAAATCAAACTAACTTGATTCCATCGTCCTGAAGAGGATTGTCGCTTACATCCAGAATTTTTAAGGTAGGCATATGAGCCAAGGCATTTTTAAGACTCTCTGCATCATCTTTGTGTTAGATTATTCCCCCTGAAAAACAAAGAAGTAACCTTGTCATGCACTAACAATGTTTGAAACAAAAGAAAAAATCCCCTGAAGTTGAAATTGGATTTGCAAGAAGACACAGAGATTATACATCAATGGGGGATACCTTAGATTGAGCACACTTAATGATTGCAATGACTTACCGAAGACAAGGACCTGCCACCAAAATGCGATGAGCTTTAGTAGTTGCAAGCACTCCTCTGAACAAGTGAAATGCAACCTGATGTCCATGATGACATATATAGTTTAACGAAGCTTAGGCACATATCACATGTTCAAGTTCTCACTGAACCAGCAGAACTGCACTGCATAAAGCACTAGAAGAGAAAACCACAATATGTAGAAAAGTGAAAGGTGCAATTTCTAGAACTTGGATGGTTAAGCTGATCTTGGTTGTCTCCCCATACACGCTGTCAACCTTTGTCCTTGATTTGGTCTTCATCTTTATCCTTTTTTCCCCTCTCTCGATGACTCTAGTGATAACAAAACCCTCTCTTAAAACCAACGAGTATCACACTGGTTTTACATTGTGTCTTTAAACCTATTCAAACCCTAAAAGAACCACAAATCCTGACCAACCTTAGATTCTTAAACTCAAGTAGTATTATGCCAAACTGGTAAAAAAGCAGAAACAAAAATATTAAACAAATAAATCCTTCTGTAATTTGTGACGCTAAATCCACATCATTAGATATGTCATTTGATGCCTTATGCGATGGAAAAGCTACCCTATTTGAATAAACATATATACCCTGCTACATCATCCTTAAAAGTTTCACATTTTTTTTTTTATAACAATGAAAGAAAATTTTATTAGAGAACATGCCAAGCGGGCACAATCTCATTAAAACTATCATGGTTGGACACATTAGATTCCTGCTTACTATCATTAAAACTAGTTGAATTCTCAGAATCTTCACCACAAAAGGCTTTCCGCATTTGTTTAGTTCTAACTTGACCTTCCTCATGTCTTTCTTGTGCTACAAGTCCTACACTCGTACGTACCCTATTAGCAATTAAAATCAAACAAATCAACAAAAAAACACAACTGCCAGTGCCTTACTATAAATTAAAATCAAACAAATAAATTAACACACCCACCAGTGCCTTGCTATCAATTCAAAACAAATAAATTCAGAAAATAAATTAAAATCAAATGAACAAATAAGCACAACAGCCAATGCTCTGCTATCAATTACACACAAATAAAAAAAAGCACACCAGTAAGTACCCTACTATCAATTAAAATTAAATAAATAAATAAAAAAGCACACCCGCCAGTACCCTGCTATAAATTAAAATTAAACAAATAAATAAGTACACCCGTCAGTGCTCTGATATTAATTCAAATAAAATAAATAAATAAAATAACACACCCACCAGTGCCCTGCTATTAATTCAAAAAAAAAAGAAAAAAAAAAAAGAGCACACCTGCAAGTATCCTACTATCAATTAAAATAAATAAATAAATAAAAAAGCACACTCGCCAGTGCCCTGCTATTAATTTTTTTTTTTTTTAAAAAAAAGGACTGCAATATATGGACCTTGACCTGAAGAAATTTATGACCACTTCCATAGATATTGCCAAGAACCAAGTGATAAAAGTGAGTGAGTTTTGCTATTTTTTTGTACCATTTTGAGAAAGATCCGACGCATGACTTGGGTATGATAATAGTGAAGTGGAAATGACACACTCCATGAAATTCTAATACGACTTGAATGCCAACAATTGTTGTCATTCAGTAGCATGCAATTACCTAGTAATGCCCCCCTAGTGAATTTGGTGATAGATTGTAGCAAGCATATGCTTAAGCTAGCAGACTTTGGATCAGCCAGGGAAATTGGTGTTCCTCTTCAGACAAATACCGAAGCGGAAAAGGTATTCATTTGTACATTATTCTACCCTTGCCTTATTTTCAGCTTCAAGTCCTCTCAAACAATTTATATTTACGACAGATAAGAGATTGCCTGTTTCGACTTTCATTCTTAGTAACTGAATGGTATTCTGACACTGCCTATTAGAAGGTGATTGACATTACTTCTTTATTCTTTTGTACCGCGTTTTTTAGTTAGAAATACATGCTTTCATAAATATTTAGTACGAACTACTTTTCTTTCTCTTCACATGTTGCTTGTAAACGCGTACTTGCAAATGAATTCAAGTTACTTCCTATATCTAACACTGGAGAAAGAATAATGGGTTTTTAGTTGGTTTCTTCACATAACGGGACAGCTCTAGGCAATTAGGCGGAAAAATTAGGCAAGACCTGTTAATTCTAGTTAATTTTCACTAATTATAAAACCACAAAAGCACATTAAACTAAAAGAGAAAGCTAAAAAACTATTAGTAATATGAAAAACAACATAAAAATTTAAACCAATCACATCAGTAAGAACAAATATTTAAACTCATACAATCAATTAACCAAAAAATAAAAAAATAAAATTGTGCTCATGGATGCTCTTTTATTTTTTGTTTTTTAAACATAAGAGTAAAATGGTAGAACTTAGTGAACGGGATAAGGTTATAGAAAAAATATGAAGGATAGAGTACAAATTTAAAAATAAAATAAAATATGCATACTGCAATTACTTTGTAACAAGATGACCAACAAAATTGGTTATTATGAAAAAATATATATGCATGTATGGGGCTTCTTGATTCAAACATATGTTCCACATCAAAAACACATCCAAACATCAATTAATTCAATTGTTTTGAATTCTCCACTAGTCATTGTGGCATATCTTCTCATACAGTTGGAGTAGTTCTTTAGGTTGCAAGTCTGTGGTACAAGGCACCTGAACTCTTACTTGGCGGCCAAAAATCCTCTACTCCAGTTGATATTTGGTCTGCAAGTTGTGTATTTGTTGAGCTGGTGATCCAATAACCTCTTTTCCATGGAGCTACTGACTTTGTTCAAGTGATCAAAGTTTTCAGGTGAATTTTAATATTTGTTTTCGTTGCATTAAAAATCAGATTCCATTTGATTGTATTCAATTGACAGAATCAAATCAAAACATGGTGTATAAACAGGACTTTCAATTATTCATACACACCAACTGGACAATTTACAAAATCACATCAATAGCTTTGACTTGTGTCAATCATTATTTTCTCTCTTGCCTTCATTGTTCTTCAAATTAGCTTCTATATAACTTATATATATATATATATATGCAAACATGCCCATTGATTGTTATAACTTTTTAATGCCATTTAATGGTGTAATTCTTACAATTTTCTTTATAATGTGAAGCATTATGGGAAGGCCAAATGAGGAAACTTGGCCTAGAGTGACTTTAATATGTGATTTTCTAGATTCTTTTGCAAGTAGTGAACCTCAGGTAATACTTTATTTTTATTTTTTTGGAGACTTAATTCTTGTATGAGAAATAATGCTTCTGCCTTGTTTCTTCTTCTGCCACGCAGAATCTGGCCGAAGTAGTCCCGAGTCGTGAACCGACTGGACTTGATCTTCTCTGCTTAAGTTTCTAATTTCACCATATTTGATTAACAATCAAATATTTCAGTTTATCAAATGAGTCTTATTATTCTTGCTTTAACCAATGCCTCCACAGCCCCACATATGGGACTGACTGAAATATTTGGATCTATTGGGCAAGGGGTAGTTTCGAAGAAGGGGATTTCGGTGTAGGGTTTCATAGAATGGAGATGGAGAGAGGGAGAGAAACAAGTTGCAGAGAGAGAGAGAGAGAGAGCGAGAGAGAGAGAGAGACATACCTTGAGGCAAAGTCGAGTGTAGGTTATGTTCGTGGGATAGTCTTCGACGGCGAAGAAAAGCTTCAGAGTCGTGTCTGAAGAATAGAGCGTTTTGGGCAAAGAAGGTGAAGAGGGTTTGTGGAACATAATAGAACAATCGGAAAAGAAAATTGTAACCGGTTAAATAGGTATACAATATTTCGAATCAAATTATTTAACGGTGGAGATCAATTTGTAAATATCTAATGGTTTAAAACAAATGTATATATGATATGCACTATTTAATGAGGTACACATCTTAACAATTCCCATTTATTATAAGTTTGAATACGCTTGGACAATAAATTTAATTTTAAATTTTCTTTCTTCAAAGATTCAGTCGGTGAAATATTTTGGCATAAGGACAATCTCCTATAAATTGACTAAATTGTCCACGTATATATATGTATATCATTTCCCAAATCAAATCGTAATAACCACTTCTCTCTCCCTCTTTCTCTCTTTTCTCTTATCTCTGGCCATTGTGTTTGTACCGATCGTGAAACATATCACTACCTCAAGCCCAGCGCGACGGCGACTTCTCCGCTAGTCGGGGCTCAACATTCGGTACCACAATGATCTCGCTCCTGTCCTCAGATCTCTCTCTTTTTATCTTTTCTTAGATCTACCGTCTTCGCCACCCTTCACTCCGAGCCACCATCTACGATTTGCGATCTGAACTAGATTCAAAGATTGCATCTAGGGTTTTGACTTTGATTTGACCACATAGTTGAGTTGTGATCATGATTCTATTGTTCTTTCCAAGATCTGAACTTGAATTGAATACCATGTAGAAGATCCGAACTCGAACAGAGACATTCTTGGTCGTTTCAATTGCAATGGCGGTAGACGATGAGTCTAGGGTTTGAATAGAGAGGAGAGTCCACCATCTTGTTAGTGACGGCGAGCTCGGCGTAATTTAACCTTGAAGATCAAGGACCTATGTTTGTGTTCCTCCTTGGTTGCTTGCCGAACTTACGCTTGAAGAGCCTGAGTTGGTGGCTATTTGTGATCCAAACCTGTGTTTTGTGTTGGCATTGCACTGATAACCTGGATTATGATGTCATCATCGTTCGAATTGACGGAGGTAGCGGCGAATGACGTCGTAACAAGAAGAGGGAAAATAAGGAGGACAGAGTAAAGGTGATCCACGTTGAAATTTCATGATCTTAATCAAGAAATTTGCACTCTCTTGGATGTTTTCCCATTGAATGAATTGGATCTTTGATTGTTTTGATGGATCTTGGAGTATTTGTGTGAAAGTTTGAAGGATGGATCTTGGAGTATCTGTGTGAATTTTTCCATTTAAGACAAAAATTTCAAAATTTGTAATTCTTGTCGTTCCTGGATGCATTAAAATCTCTACCATGAAGATCAAATCACATATCTCTCTCTGTCTGTCTCTTTCTCACACACACACTCTCACTCTCTCTCTCTCTCTCTCTTACAGATTGATCTATCTTGTTAATTTTATTGTTGTTGTTGTTGTTAATTTTCTTAGCCTGATAACTTTGAGGTTATGGGTTTAAGTCTTGATGTAATTAATTTGTGCACTATGTCAAAAGTTAGATGTGTACCTAATATTTTTCTTTCCAAACATACATTGATGTATGCTATTTGGGTGTTATTTTTGTTGTTGTTATTGTTGATGATGATGATTGAGAGGGTAATTTTTGTAAAAATTGGGCCGAGCTGGGAGATGTCATTATGGCCCACAATACGAAGGATTGAGTAAAAAGGTCGTAAAGTTACTCCGGCCCAAGAGAGGTACAAAATTACTCCGGCCCGAGATAAATGTAAATTTACTCCGGTCCGGAAGCGACTTGGAGTTAGGCCGGTCTCAGGGTTAGTCTGGTCATGGCATATTGTGGTTAGAACGGCCAGAACCTTGCTACTTGGTAGCTCGGTCTAAACACACCATGATTCATACATGAGAGAACCGAGATAAGGTGTAACGAAAGGAAGAACCGGACTAATGATAGTTCGGCCTACTCCGCGGCTCAGCATAGCCATAATTACTTCGGTCATGTTGGAGTTCGGCCATGGTAAAAACCATCTCACTTGGTTTAAGCAGTGAGGGGGTGTTGAAGGATAAGCATTATCTTTCAGGAGTATGAATCCTAGGGGACTCTGCATGGAGGAGTAGAAGTCCTACTAGGATTATGCCACACGAAACCTACAAAAGCTCATGAACATCACCTTTGGAGAGGTAACACACAACTTTGCTTTCTGAATACATAGAGCTTTTGTCTATTTGTCAAGCTTACTGACTTAGGCATCGGAGAGGTTTCCGGCACACACCCGCCGACTAGCTCACGTTTGTGTTTTCAGGTGACAAAGCGACGACGTACAGAGGAGCGCAGACTTAATCAACAGGATTATACGAGAAGGTTTATTTCTTTCCCGTACAACAATGGAGAGAGAGAGAGAGAGAGAGAGAGAGAGAGAAAAGAAGAAGAATAAGAAGAAGAAGATTTAAAAAGATAAAATTTGGTTTGGCTTGATATTTCAATAGATACAAAAAATTGAATATAGATTTTTTCAACAGATAGAGAGAGAAAATAAAAGTGGGGAGAGAAAAGAGGGTTGAAAAGAGAAACAGATAAAGAGAAAGTTTGAAAATGGTATGAATTTGAACAGATAGAAAAAATAAATTATAAAAATTCAACAGATAAAAAAATTTGAACAGATAGATAAAAATTTGAACAAATAGAAAATAAATTTAAATAGGTAGATATAAATTTGAACAAACAGTCAACAGATAAATTAAATGATAAAATTAAATACAAAATATCCTTCAAAATCAACGAAATGAGTGCTCGCCAAACTATTTACAAATGAGTGGGCCTCTCACCAATAAAAAAAGTATTCCCTGGACCTAGTACCTTATACCTTTCTTTCTTTAAACTTTTCACCAATTTCTCTAAATTTAATTATAGCTTTCATCTTTTTAAGTTTTTTCCATTGGACAAAACTCCTCTCATTATTAAGGGGGTGGTTTGTGATATTTTAAATAAGTGTACTTTTTTACTTTTTATAAAAAAATGTGTAGAAAAGTAGAGGAGATGTTAATAGATATTGATTGATGTGACCTAAATAAATGTATGTATATAAAAAAATATACTTTTTAGTTGCATGCCAAACACCAACTAAATCTCTTCCCATAACCATTCTAATAAACATTCATTGGGGCTACCTTTCTCTAGGTGTGTAATTTTGGCCTAGCCCGGTCCATCCGGGCTTGGGCCGAGCTGGGTCTATGTCGGGCCTTGCGGGCTCTCGTCAAAAAATTGGGGCGGACAGAAAACTAGGCCCAAGCCCAAGCCCAGGGGTATTCGAGCTTTTGGGCGGGCCAGTGAGCAAGGCCTTGGGCTCGAGCATGGGCCTGGGCTCGGGCTTTGGCGGGCCTAAACAAATTTTTTAATTTTTTTTAATTTTTTCCACCAAAATTTTATTATTTTCTATTAAAAATAACATTGGACCTCGGGTGGACCAGGTTTTTGGGCGGGCCTTAAGCGGGTCGATGGGCCGGGCGGGGTTTCAAAACAATGGCTCAGGCCCAGGGTCTCGAGCTGGGCTTGGGCTCGAGCCTTAACGGGCTGGGCCCATCTCAGGCCGCGGGCCAAAATTACACCCCTACCGTTTTCCACCAGCAATTCTCTCCTCCGTAGATAAAATGGCAACTTGGCAGCCGTGAAGGAAGGCAGGTTAATTTTGCAATTTTAGAAACGATAATATTAATAAAATTATAAACAATATGATATATTATAAATAAATATTTATTACTTAAAATTTAGTTTTTTCCATAATTTATTTACAAATTTACAAAATAAATTGATTAGATTATTAAAATAAAATCTATATCCACACTCTCTATTATTAAACATTTTTTAATCATTAAACATAAGAATACATTTTACTTTTAAGTATAAAACAAATAAAAAGAGAACCACATTACACCAATCAAAAGAATAAGGCCGCATTTAAAAATAAGCTATTTTAATAAATATAAAAAATATCACTACAAATTGTTATTTTTTTTAAATTTTTCTACACAATTTTTATAAAAAATTAAAAAATCAACAAAAACAATCAATTTTTAAAAGCACCACTAAGTTGAGTTATACGCAAAAGGAAAAAAGTATAAAACAATGACATGCCCCTTTTATTTAGGGAAAATTACTCATTCTGTTTAGTTGTCATTTTTAAAATTCACGTTTTTAGAACATTTTATTTTTCGTATTTTTTTATTCTCACTAAATTATTTTTAATATTTTAAGTAATATTTTTAATTTTTAGACACACCTAACATAAATATAATTAAAAAGTATAATATTTGTGCAAAAAACTTTAAAAAATTTACTAAATATCAAAAATATAAAAAAATGAAAATTCAATATATTTTTTTATATTTTTGTGTATTTATTAATTTTTAAAAATATTTTTTAAAAAATATTTTACTATTTAAATATATTTAAGTAACACTTTTTAGAACATTTTATTTTTTGTATTTTTTTATTTTCACTAAATTATTTTTAATATTTTAAGTAATATTTTTAATTTTTAGACACACCTAACATAAATATAATTAAAAAGTATAATATTTGTGTAAAAAAATTTAAAAAATTTACTAAATATCAAAAATATAAAAAATGAAAATTCAATATATTTTTTGTATTTTTGTATATTTATTAATTTTTAAAAATATTTTTTAAAAAATATTTTACTATTTAAATACATTTAAGTAAGGCACATTTAAAATAATAAAAAATTGCTTAAATTTTTTAAAATATTCACTAAAAATAAAAAAATAAGAAAAATAAAAAATTCAATTTAAAAAAAAATTGAATTCAAAAAATTAAAACTAAACACTATGACTAGTTTTTAGAAAAATATTTATACAATCATGAGAACAATTATGATTTAATATTTTAATACTTATAAAATTTATCACTAGGATTTTGTTTGTTTGGGTGAAAATATTTTTTAATAAAAACTATTTTTTACAAATTTTTTTTTAGAAAATGTTATTTGAAAAAAATATATTTTTTTTTATATTTAGAGGTGACGGTGGAAAGAAAGTGGAGGTGGTGGCATGGTGGTGGGACGAGACAGCGGTGATGACAATCATAAAAGTGACAATAGCCGTGGTGGTGATGGTAGTGCGGTGATGAAAGTGAAAATGGTGATAATAGTACAGTCACATTGATAAAATTTCAGTTTTGTCCAAATACATCATAATGTTTCTTTTTTATTAACTACCAAAAAAATATAAAAATATTTTCAATAAATAACTGATTAATGTAACTAGCAAGTGACTATTGATTGTAGGGTTGGGTTCGAGCTCCGGTGAGGAAGTGAGGAATGGCCAGTAGACCTGTTTCGTCTCTGCAGAGCTTGAACACTTGGGACTCTATTTCGTACCTGTCTCAGCGAGAAGCAGCCGAGATCGATGACATCCTCATGGGTCCTCTTGGCTTCAGTGTCGATCAGTTAATGGTTAGTTAGTTTTCAATTTTAATATTCAGCTCTGTTTCTTGAGCTATCCAATAGTAGTTACTGAATTGTTATTAAAGATGCTTGGCGTCATGGTATTTGTAGGAATTGGCCGGTTTGAGTGTTGCTACTGCGATTGCGGAGGTAAGTTTTTAACATTTTTGGGTTTCCTTGCTCTGAAATTGAATGGCGAGAGGTGATTAATTGCTAGGTTGGGTATTTGATATTAAAGATGTAAATAAATTAGGAATTATGTTGAAAAAAGAGTTAGAAATTAGATTATAAAGGGAATTTGTATTAGTTATTTAATTGGTTGATATGGGACTACAAAAATAATCTGTGAACAAAAGAGAGAAAGAAAGGGTAGCTGAGGGTTGTTACTGTTAAGGGTAGAAGTTGCCATTGTGTGGAGGTATCTGGCTATTTTTAAAATACAGTGTAAAGTGCTACCAGGGGCACATGGAGGATAAGTGGATTTTACCCTACAAACAATGTGTATTTATACCTATTAATCACTCCTTTAGACTTATAGATTTTATCATTTACGTTGTGTTTGGTTGGGGGATTTGGGAAGGGATTTAGAAAAGTTGTGGGAAAATGTGTGTGAAACTAGGCGAACATTTCACCTACCTTTTGTGTGTGAAACTAGGCGAAATGTAGTTATATTTTATTCACATCTCACCTACTTTTTCTCTTTTCTTTTCCAAATTTCTTCTCAAATCCCCCAACCAGATACAACGTTAAGAATTCTAAAATCAAAGACTTCCAATTTGTTTATGAATAGAGACTCGTAAAATAGATGTTAGGACTTTTTGTTCACATTTCTTTTCCAATATCTATAATGTGGAAATGATATCTTACTATTATGATATAATAAAATATGAACGCATTTGTAATGTAAAAAATGAAGAAATGGTAATTAATTTTCATTTATGCATATCGAAAAATATATATATTTTTTGTTATAGTGTTCTTCTTGTCTTTTTGTGTCATATTTTTTTTTGAAAATTATTGTGTCAACGTGTTTGTATCTCAGTATCCTTGAACTGTATCCATACCTGTGCTGCTTCGTTGTTGAGAGATATAGTGCTTTGGTTTTCCTCTCTTATCTCTGCTACTCTCGTTGGGGTCTTAATGGTTCATAATTTTCTCTCAGCAAGAAATATTTACTTTTTCAAAAATTTAAGAACCCGATTTAAGTTGCATGATTTGTTTTTGGTGTGTGTGTGTGTTACTATTTTTTGACAGGTCTACAGATCAACTGAGTATAATCGTGTTCTTGCTATTTGTGGTCCTGGGAACAATGGTGGTGATGGTCTTGTAGCTGCTCGTCATCTGCATCACTTTGGATATAACCTATCTGTTTGTTATCCAAAGCGTACTCCTAAACCTCTTTATGATGGTCTAGTGACTCAGGTATGGCAATGGGACTGAAGTTGAAATATTGGTGAAAGGTTAGATCATATATTTTTGAAGTTCTTATTCATTGTAGTAATTTTGTAGCTGGAATCACTGTGTGTTCCTTTCCTCTCGGTTGAAGATCTGTCCATGGACCTATCAAATGACTTTGATATTCTAGTAGATGCAATGTTTGGATTTTCATTTCGCGGTAATTTCTTTTTTATCAGTTTCTGAGTCTCTCTCTCTCTCTCTCTCCCTCTCTCTCTCTTCTTTGATTTATACCTTTAAATCCTTCAGGTACCCCAAGGCCTCCTTTTGATGTTCTGATCCAAAGGCTGATATCTATTCAAAATCATCATCGAATGCATCAGGAATCACCTGTTGTTGTCTCCATAGATATTCCATCTGGGTGGCATGTTGAAGAAGGAGATATCAGCGGAGAAGGCATTAAACCTGACATGCTGGTATATATACTTTGATGGGAACTTTTGGTGTACCTTTTACTTGACAGTTTGATTTGATAGTTATAATTTGATGTTGTCATAAAATTATACTTCTTCACCTCAAGTCAACCACATCATCAATGTAACTTTATGATGCTCTAGGTTTCTTTAACAGCTCCAAAGTTGTGTGCCAAGAGATTTTGTGGTCCACACCACTTTCTAGGTGGTAGATTTGTTCCACCATCTATTGTAGATAAATATAAACTTCAACTTCCACCATATCCTGGCACTTCTATGTGTGTCCGAATTGGAAAGCCTTCACAAATTGACATATCAGCTCTGAGAGAGAACTACATTTCTCCCGAGTTTCTTGAGGATCAGGTGGAGGATGACCCCTTTAATCAGGTATGTTTATTTAAAAAATGAAGGGTTGGTCATTAGTCTAACTTCTAATTATTTCTACTTTTGAGCTAATTTAGTAACTTTTTGACTATTTGGCTAAAATATGAGCTAAAAAAAACTAGTATGTTTGGGATGACTTTTTTACTTTTTACGAAAAGATGTGCAAAAAGTAGAGAGAAAAGAGAATCTTTGACTTTTTGGTATGGGTTGTTGGCTTTTTGGCTTTTTTAGTAACTTTTTGACTTTTTGGCTAAACCGGCTCTTCCCAAACGAGGCCTAGGATTAATGTGCAAGCTATTTCAATACTGATGTAAAAATTGCTTAATTAATATTTGAAAATTGATGTATTATGGGATTTGGTGAAATCCATTGGCAAAACCCCGTCATTCTGTCACAATAAAGGATTTAGTTGTATTGCAGTTCAAGAAATGGTTTGCTGATGCAGTGGCTGCAAGCTTGAAGGAACCAAATGCTCTTAGTTCTACTTATTCGGAATCCTTTAGATTCATGAGCTTTTCTCCAAATCTCCAACTTTGTGTTAACTCCTCTAGTCTCATCCACTAGCATAGTATCGTCTGCAAAAAGCATACACCATGACACGTCATCCTGAATATTTATCGTCAACTCGTTCATAACTAAAGCAAAAAGATAAGGAGTTAAGGTAGATCCTTGGTGTAACCCTACAATGATGGGAAATTCATTTGTCTCTCCAGCTGCCAATCTAATAGTGGTCACCACCCCTTCATACATGTCCCTAATCACGTCAATGTAACCTTTTGTCACCCCTTTCTTCTCTAACACCCACCATATTATATCCCGGGACACTCTGCCATATGCTTTCTCAAGGTCGATAAACACCATATAAAGGTAAAATAAATAAATAGAGAAATTAACCCATTACATTTATATTTATAAAGGTAAAATAAATATATTTATAACCCATCTTCTTTATTTAATATTATATTATAATCAAAAGAAATTAAAAAAAAAGCAAGAGAGAAGAGACTCAGAAAGAGAGAGAGAGAGAGAGAGAGAGAGAGAGAGAAGAAGAGATGGATCGATTGAGAGAGGAGGAGATTGATAGAGAAGATCGATCGAGAGACGAGATCGAAGAATCGATTGGCGCGAGACAGAGACGAGGTCAATCGAGAGATGAGATCGAGAGTGAAGAATCGATTGGCGCGTGATCGAAGCCGGCGACCAGAGGGAAGTAGGTGACCAGGTTCTCCTTGCTCTCTTCTCTTTCGTTTCTTCTGTATTTAGGGCTATTTCGTCTCTTCTGTATTTTGAAATCGATCAGATTCGCGTTTCTCTCGCATCAAACTCGCGATGAAGCGTAGAATCGCGCTTTTGAGGAAGAATCGTGAGCAAGTTGAACGATTCTTGCTACTAAGTTCTAAATAGCTGAAGTACCCATGTTCTTCGAAGAAGTAACCTGTTCTTATTTTTTTGTTTGCTCCTAAATGGGTTCTTCTGATTCTGTTATTTGTTTATTGGGAGAATTACACTAACGGTCCCTATAGTTTGGGCCTTTTTGGTCCCCGACTTTTCAATTGTGACACATTTGACCATGAATTTTGAATCTTGTTTCAAATAACAACAATTGAAGATACCTTTGCTCAATTTCAAGGGCAAAGTCGTCAATTTGATAAAATATAAACTAATTTGACAAAAATAAATGTTAAAAAAATATTTTTGAAGTTTTAAAAATTATTTCTACTCACTAAAGATAAAATTATGTAAAATTGATAAATCTTTTAGACATTTATTTATTTATTTATTGTTTTTACCAAATTAATTTTTATTATGTGTTTGGATGATGATCATGTAATGGGTAGTTATTTTTATTTTCATTAAATTAGTTTCTATTTTTTCAAAAGTCAAATATGGTGACAATATTGATATCATTATTAAACCAATCCATTAAATCAAAAAATTCAAAACTAAAAATATTTTATGTATTAAATATATTGATTATATATTAAAAGCCTAACAAACACCCATTACATGATCATCATCTAAACTCATAATAAAAATTAATTTGGTAAAAAAAAAATAAATGTCTAAACAATTTATCAATTTTACATAATTTTATCTTTAGTGAGTAGAAATTATTTTTAAAAATTGAAAAATATTTTTTTGACATTTATTTTTATCAAATTAGTTTCTATTTCATCAAATTGACGACATTGCCCTTGAAATTGAGTAATGATATCTTCAATTGTCCTTATTTGGAACAAGATTCAAAATTCAGGATCAAATCTGTTACAATTGAAAAGTCAGAGACCAAATTGACACGAGTCCCAAACTATAAGAACTATTAGTGTAATTCGCCCTTGTTTATTTATGTTTTATCACATTGCACTTGAGATCCATTATGGAGCATAGAAGATTCATATATATAACTATAAAGATGTGTTTTTATTTTATTTTTTAATTTTAATTTTAATTTTATTTATTTATTTATTTCCCTCTTTTGAGACATTGTTGTTAGGGTTATGTAATCTTTGCCTGTTCTTAGCAATATGATTCATGATCATACCAAAATTGATAAATTTGAGGTGTCATATTTGTTAGATTTGATTTGAATAATCACATTCTTGAAATATGTCTGTAAGTTTTAACGTTGCCAAATTATGTCACATTTGGATTGTGATATATGTGTTATTTAACATAGTGGATAGGTAGGAAAGATCTTTTTTATGTTTGTAGACACAAATTTTGAAACGTGAAGTGTTTCAACACATTTAAAAATTCATGTTACAAATGTCCACTATTTGGTTTTTGGACTAAACAGTGTTGATTATTTGAATAGCAGGTTCCTATTTTCGATTTGCATTTCATGTTGTTAATTACACATTTTATTTAAATGAAACCTCCAATTAATGAAGAACAAAAAATGAACAGAAGAAAAATTAAGGAAAAGAAATATTTTATTGAAATTGTAGGGATTTAGAACCCTTAGATACAAAACACAATAGTTAGGTTTGGAACCCTTTACCTAATGCTTGCTATCGTATCAGATGCTTATAGTGCAGTGTAAGCTCTGGACTTCTTCTTTCTTGTAATGACTTCTTTATCTCTTAATTTCTCTCTCTCTCTCTCTCTCTCTCTCTCTCTTTGATCTTCTAACTTTTGATTTTTGATCCTCCCTCGTGTGATGATCCCTTATATTTGTAGAGGGCCATCCAAGTGATAAGAGTGCCGCATCCTCAATTTGAATTTCAAAATGAACGATAACGCCATTTGAATTTTGAATGATAGCACCATCTGAATTTAGGTGTAACCATATCTAATTAATCGTCTATCTGATTAACCGTATTGATCCTTTGAATTCTATCCCATGTGGTGTCCTTGCTGTAGGCTCTACAGGTGTCATCTTTTGTAGGCTCCACGTGTCATTTCAGTATCTTAAATAACGTATTGAGATACGAAATTGTTTTATTTATGCACTTCAACGGATCATATTGATCCTTTAAGGAAGTGATAACCTACAATATTCCTATCCTGTGTTACATGGACTCGCCGGTTTAGGGCAGAGTACCCGTGTCGACACGACGCGACACGGTTGCGGGTGTGAGATATGTGTCGGATTCGGCATGATTTCCTCGGACACGGCTGACATGAGAGGAGAGGAGAAAGAAGAAGGGTAGAGAAACTTACAGTCGACCAATGGTCGCCGGAGGTCGCAAGCCTTTGTAGTTGGATTGGAGGTCGCAAGCCTCTGCTCCGTCATCGCACGCCTTTCGCCGGAGGTCGCAAGCCTTTCGCCGGAGAACTGATAGATGAGAAAAGGAGCTGAGAGAGACATGGTAGAGAGAGATGAGAATGAGACTTCATTCTTTTTTTCTTTTATCTCTGTAAGAGAAGTTTTCAAATGTGAGATGAAGATTGTAAATAGAGTCTCCAGAGATATGGTCCAGCATCACATGGCTCGAGATAGCTGGACTGGGACAGTGTGTATAAATTACAATTATAATAAGAGGGAATGGATGTATACATAATATATATATATATATATGTGTTATAGTTAGTCATAATTAAAAATTAGATAGAGTTATGTTAGAAATTTTAAATAATTTATTAAATTTTTTATTAAAATTCTTATATGAATATAGGATCTATACAAGTGAATTTGTGTGGTGTGAATTTGTGTGGGTCTCACACTTATGTACATGAGAATTTTGATAGAAAATTTAATAAATTATCTAGAGTTTATAACATTTTTCAATTATATATTTTTTTATATATATTTAAAAGATGATTAGTCAATAATTAAATATTTTTTAATTATTAACCAATCATCTTCCTCACATATCACTAAATTTAGAAAATAAATCAATTTTTTTATTTTTTTATTAAATCTTTTATTTTTTATTTCTATGATATTTTTTACCTACAAAATAAGATAATGTGAATAAAAAATAAAATATTAATTAAAAAATTCTATTCATGCATAAAATTATATATATAAATTTTGTGATAATATCATTATTATAAATAAATGCATCTTCAATAGGTTTTTATTTTTAAGTGAATGAGACACTTGCTAAGGAATAATAAGGATAAAAAAATATGTTAATTCTGAAAAAATTATTATTAAATTTAATATATATTTTTAATTTAATACACTTTTTATATTTTTGAAACTATATTTTTTTTACACTTTCTCAATATTAACAAGTGCCATGGGAACAATAATATTTATCGAATAAAATTATGCATAAAATTTTTATTTATAGCACTAATCTATTAAGTATTTTTTAATATATTTTATTTTTTAATTTTATATTGTGATTTTTTTTTTTTAAAAAGAAAGATTTTATTTAAAAAGAGTTATGTTAGGGATCCTAAATATTCTACAAAACTTCTTATATGGGTGTAGGACTCACACACATGTGAATTTGTGTGAATCACACCCCATATGAAAGGTTTGGTAAAATATTTAAAAAAATATTTGAGATACATAACATTTCTCATTTAAAAATAATGGTCTTATGAGCTCTGCACATGACTCGAGATAATTGAGAAGTGTGTATAATGGTATACAGGTAATGTGTGCACATTTTATTTTTTGATATTTTCTTTATTTTGTGTCTTCTATAATATAATTCAATGAATGTAGCATTATTATATTTATATAGAAAATAAATACAAAAATATTTTTTATTTAGGGTTGATTTAAGAATATCAAAAATCAGTCAAAAAGTTAAAAATAAAATCAAAAAATTAAACTAAAAAATTAACTAGTATTTCTTTTTTTTCCTATTTTTTTACATATTTTTTTGATAAAAAATTAAAAAGTTATTTCAAACATACAAATTTTGTTACCTTATATTTTAACTAAAAAATTTAAAAATTATTAAAATAGTTTATTCTCAAGCCAATATTACTTTTTGCTTATTTTTGGAAAAAAAAATAATCTTGTCACCATTTTTAATTTATTCTTTAAAAAAATATCAATATTAAACAATATCCCAAGAACATTTAATATGTAATTTTTTGACCATTTATAAATAAATAAGATTAACATATTTTATATTTCCCTCTTTTGAGACATTGTTGTTAGGGTTATGTAATCTTTGCCTGTTCTTAGCAATATGATTCATGATCATACCAAAATTGATAATTTGAGGTGTCATATTTGTTAGATTTGATTTGAATAATCACATTCTTGAAATATGTCTGTAAGTTTTAAAGTTGCCAAATTATGTCACATTTGGATTGTGATATATGTGTTATTTAACATAGTGGATAGGTAGGAAAGATCTTTTTTATATTTGTAGACACAAATTTTGAAACGTGAAGTGTTTCAACACATTTCAAAATTCATGTTACAAATGTCCACTATTTGGTTTTTGGACTAAACAGTGTTGATTATTTGAATAGTAGGTTCCTATTTTCGATTTGCATTTCATGTTGTTAATTACACATTTTATTTAAATGAAACCTCCAATTTATGAAGAACAAAAAGTGAGCAGAAGACAAATTAAGGAAAAAAAAATATTTTATTGAAATTGTAGGGATTTAGAACCCTTAGATACAAAACACAATAGTTAGGTTTGGAACCCTTTACCTAATGCTCGCTATCGTATCAGATGCTTGTAGTGTAGTGTAAGCTCTTGACTTCTTTCTTGTAATGACTTCTTTATCTCTTAATTTCTCTCTCTCTCTCTCTCTTTGATCTTCTAACTTCTGATTTTTGATCCTCCCTCGTGTGATGGTCCCTTATATTTATAGAGGGCCATCCAAGTGATAAGAGTGCCGCATCCTCAATTTGAATTTCAAATTGAATGATAACGCCATTTAAATTTTGAATGATAGCACCATCTGAATTTAGGTGTAACCATATCTAATTAATCGTCTATCTGATTAACCGTATTGATCCTTTGAATTCTTACCCATGTGGTGTCCTTGCTGTAGGTTCTACAAGTGTCATCCTTTGTAGGCTCCACGTGTCATTTCAGTATCTTGAATAACGTATTGAGATACGAAATTGTTTTATTTATGCACTGCAATGGATCATATTGATCCTTGAAGGAAGTGATAACCTACAACATTCCTATCATAGGCTCTATACGTGTCATTGATTGATTGACCGTATTTGAAATTTTAACATAAATTTGGTTGAAATCTATGTACCAACAATATTATTCCAGTTTCATCCACTGTCTCCGCAGAAGTATATCATGATGTGATGATATTCATAATTTGTTGTTTTGATGAAGTATAATTTTAAACGTCTAGATGGATAATGCATTATTTTTTTAGTAAAATTTGTTGACCATTTCAAATTTACCACACATCATGTTATTCTTTAATGCAGTTCGTCACGTATGGTATTGCTAAAAGGAGTTGATAAAGATGGTTTTGTCTGGTTAGAGATCAACTTTGACTTTTCCATAATGATTATAGTTAAGATTGTTTTTTTAAATGCTGATTATTTTCATTTGTATTATTTCATCATGCAGGTACACCAACTATGAAAGCCAAAAGGCTCTTGAAATATCTGAAAATCCTAATGCGTCACTGCTATTTTACTGGGATGGTCTACATCGCCAGGTAAACTTGTTCCCCCCCCTCCCTAATTCCATCAAACAATTATAAAGCAAACGGGTCTGTAAGTAGAGTGCTTTTATGTTCATGTTCCTTATAGAAAACCTTTCTTTTTAATTTCCATCAAACAATTATAAAGCAAACGGGTCTGTAAGTAGAGTGCTTTTATGTTCATGTTCCTTATAGAAAATGTTTTTTAATTTGCCTTGGACTTGTAATGATGTGTTTTCTATCTTAAGCCTTGTTTGAATAGACAAATGGTGGTTAAATAAATTCTTTTCATTTTGGAATCATGATCTCTATTTTTGAAATAGAGATCTGATCTGACTGATTGTTGTGAGTAAATAGCTCAAATTTCTAATTTGTATGGATTATCTGGATAAAATTATATGAATCTTGATCTTCTACAGAGGATTCGTGTTGGGTTCAGTTTGGATTTATAGTTTGGGTTTTACAGAGGATTTGTAGTGGGTTTTATAGTGTGTTGTCC